CCTTCTAGGATTGATGCCTCTAGTGAGCAGTGTAGAGCAGTCAGCACATTCAGATCATATTGCTTCCAAGTACCCTCATCCAGACTTCTATCAGTTGCCTTTAGCTCTTCATAGGTGAACTCAATGTGTTTTGTGAGCTTCCTTCCTCCCAACACATTCAGAGTTGTTCGCTTCCACAGCAGAAAGTTGTTCCCATTCAGAGTTACCGCAAATCTCAAGTCCTTGAAGGTATCATTCATCTTGCCATCATACACCATAACAGGCATAGGAGCTTGTTGAAGAGCAGCCATTAACAAACCTTAAGTATTTCGCCGATTAGACACCAAAAAAAAAACTAACACTTTCCAAGACTAAAGCTTTAACCTTGAACTTTCCACACTCAAACCACAAGCCAAGCCGCAACACTAGTCTATCCACACCCTTTGCCTTAAACTGATTCCTTAGACTAAACCTTTCAACCAGAGAGAGATAAAGCTCAAACCTTTTATTTTCAGATCTGACTTGCTTCACCTTCTTTGCTCGGTTTGATGCTTCAGCTTAACCCACAAGAACCAGCTTCAACCCAGAATAGCTTTTGCCACGGATTAACCCACAAGAACTTCTCTCAAACAGAAGAATCGAACAAGAAAACCAAGATTTAAGACTCAAGAATCACAAAACCGCTCTGATACCATGTAAATTATAGAAGATTATAAGGTAAAGTCTCGACTCTCATGTTTAGGAATAGAGGAAAAATGTATTAGATGATAAAAGTTACATTCACAAGAAGGGATACACATGATATTTATAGGACAATCCCTAGGTTAGAAAGGGTTACGCACATAGACCATATAGCGTCCTCATTCTACCTTGTACTACCATGTGTGACTCACTCTCCTTTACAGCTCATAACGGTAACAAAGAGATAAGGGAAGGAGGTACAGCCGCTACAGGACGGATGACTCATCACCGTATGGTCAACATGACCATTAGCTTTTCTTATCCTCCTTTCCCTCTTCTTTCTAATACAGACTACCTTATTACTCAAGTAACTATATTTACTATGTAACTATTAGTTAGTTAATAGTAAATACCTTCTTGATTAACAGGCAGGATGACTCCAAGCTGGACTTGCTCCCTAACCTTGTGACAATCAGCTTCAATATGCTTGGTTCTTTCATGGAAGACCGAGTTTGATGCAATGTGTATAGCCGCTTGGTTGTCACAGTGCATGGTGATTGGTGTGCTTGTCTCACATCCGAGGTCTTTAAGGAGGTTTCTTAGCCACATTAGCTCGGTTGTTAACCTCCTCATGGCCCGGTACTCAGCTTCAGCACTAGAACATGCAACTACATTTTGCTTCTTGCTCTTCCAAGTAACTAGATTCCCACCAACGAACGTACAATAGCCAGTAGTTGATCTTCTATCTACACGGTCTCCTGCCCAGTCTGCATCGCAATATCCCACAATCTCTGAGCTTTTGTTGCAACCCATCCAAATGCCATGACCGATTGTTCCTTGAACATAGCTGAGAATGCGCTTGACCATGCTCCAGTGATATGAATTTGGGGCTTTCATGTGTTGGCTAACCTGATTCACAGCAAAACACAAGTCAGGTCTAGTTATGGTAAGATAAATTAGCTTACCAACCATCCTGCGGTATTGTGTGATATCTTCAAAGGGCTCATCTTCTAGCTCCCCCTTTCGGTCCACCTTGTAGCTATCTTCAAGAGGAGTTTTAGCTACCTTATCTCCAAGGTTTCCTGCTTCACTCAACATATCCATCATATATTTTCTTTGTGAGAGGAACAAGCCTTCTTTAGATCTACAAACTTCAATACCTAAGAAGTATTTTAGTTCACCTAGATCTTTAATGTCAAAAACATTCTTTAAATAATCTTTAGTAGCAAGAATGTTTACCTTGTCATTCCCAGAGATGATAATATCATCTACATAAATGAGAATTGTCAAAATGATCAACCAAGGAGAGGTGTCCGTACACACTCATCACCGTGACATTCAAGGAAGAGTGATACACAAGGAAGCAACGGTCATAGACAAGGAATATAATTGATCCTAGCCAACTACTACAACGGTCATATGCATAAGGAAGCAAAGAAGATAAGGTCACATGTCTGGTTTAAGCATATGGGCGTTGGAAGTCAAGCTTGAACTGTCACTTTCACCTTTGGGATCTACTCCTTTGTTTATTCTTATTGTTTCCCCTCTTGTAGCCGTTAGCTTAGGATATTTGTAGATCTATAAATAGATCATCTCTATCAAATGTAATTAATAACTTAAGGAAATATACTCTCCTTAATTCTATTCTCACATTCTCTCTTGTTCTTCACTTGTTGTTCATCATTTCACTTAAACATTCCGCAAATATTCCAACATGGTATCAGAGCGAGTTATGTAGATCCTTGGATCACAAACTCTGATTCTCATCCTCTCTCATTTTACTTCTTCTTTATTCGCTACCTCTCTCTCTCAACTCCAGAAAATTCTCAGAAACTTTACCCAACGGTCCATAGCCACTAATCACCCTCTTTATACTCTTAAATCACTCCTAAAACTCTCTAAACCAGCTAAACACATTCTCAATCCACCATACTCTCATTCGCTTACTCTTCTCTTTCCTCAAATCTCTTTCCCCAAATCAGTGACCAACGGTCCATACCTTTGCCCATAGGTCCATAGAACCAAATTCATGGCCATGGAGAACAACAAGCCATTGGCTTTACCAGTTACACTCAAAGGAGTGAACTACCTACTGTGGTCAAGAACCACAAGAGCCGCCTTGTGTGGAAGAGGTCTCTGGAGTCATGTCTCAAGTGACGCCCCCATAGCAGCACCACCAGCCGCAGGAGCAGCCATTGTCCCAGCCAAAGAGACCCAATGGTACAGGGAAGACCAGACCGTCCTTGCTTTGTTACAAAGCTCCCTAAGCAACGAGATCTTGGAGGCATACTCCTACTGTGAAACCGCCAAGGAGCTGTGGGGGACTTTGAAGCAAGTATTCGGCAATGTCTCTAATCTAAGCCGTGTGTTTGAAGTCAAAAAGGCTATCAACGATCTAAGGCAAGAAGATATGGAGTTCACCAAGCATTTTGGAAAATTCAGAGCACTATGGGCTGAGCTGGAAATGCTAAGGCCAAGTACCGTGGACCCACAAGTCTTGAATGAAAGAAGGGAGCAAGACAAGGTCTTTGGACTGCTCTTGACTCTCAGCTCAACCTACAATGATCTCATCAAACACCTTCTCAGAGCAGAAAGGCTACCAACGCTTGAAGAAGTCTGTTCTCAAGTCCAAAAGGAGCAAGGATCACTCGGCTTATTTGGGGGAAAAGGAGAACTGATTTCAGCCAACAAAGGAGCCTACAAATTTGATGAGAAGAGAAACTCGTTTTGTGATCATTGCAAGAGAAAGGGGCACACCAAAGAAGCATGCTGGAGTCTCCATCCGCACCTTAAACCAAAATGGAAGGAGGGAAAGGCTCGGTTTGCTTCAGAAGAGGTAGCTCACAAAGGCGAAAGCTCTAAGAATACCCCTGGAGAAGGAGCAGCAAACTCATCTCAATTCGTGACAAAATCAGACTTGGATGCCCTGATCAAAGCGTTTAAGGAGTCTGGTAACACTCTTGGTACCTCTTTTTCATGTGATTCAAAATATGGGTAATTCTTATAGTTCTTCACATACACTTAAGAATAAGCCATTAATAGTTGATTCAGGGGCTTCTCATCACATGATTAGTGATTTAAGCTTAATTAGCAACATAAAACCAACAATAGGAAATGTTGAGATTGCTAATGGGGAAAAGGTTCCAATTAAGGGAATAGGAGAACTTAAGCTATTTGAGAGATCTTCTAAAGCTTTCTACATGCCTACTTTTACATCTAACTTATTATCAGTAAAGAAGGCTACAACTGATTTAAACTGTATTGCTATCTTTGGACCTAATGAAGTGTGTTTTCAGGATATTAAGACCAGCAAAACGCTTGGGAAAGGGACTACCAAAGATGATCTCTATGTTCTTGAAGACACTAAGCTTTTAGATCCTACCTTTGCTTCCTCTAATAATGTTGTAGCTTGTGATAATAATGCGATTTGGCATGCTAGATTAGGACATCCTCATGCTCTCGTGCATTGAGTCTTTTATTACCTGAAGTAGTGTTTAAGAATGATGATTGTGAGGCTTGTATCTTAGGAAAGCATTGTAGAACTGTTTTTCCTAAGTCTTCTACCATTTATGAAAAATGTTTTGATTTAGTTCACTCTGATGTTTGGACATCCCCTTGTGAATCTAGAGATCAAAACAAGTACTTTGTTACTTTCATAGATGAAAAGTCTAAGTATACTTGGTTAACTCTCCTCCCATCAAAAGATAGAGTCTTTGAGGCATTTAGGAACTTTCAAACTCACATAACTAACCATTTTAATGCCAAGATTAAGATTTTCAGATCAGATAATGGGGGAGAATACACAAGCAACTTATTCAAAGAATATCTTACCTCACAAGGCATCATTCACCAAACCAGCTGTTCTTATACACCCCAACAAAATGGTGTTGCTGAAAGGAAGAACAGACACTTAATGGAGGTGGCCAGATCCATGATGTTTCAAAACAATGTACCAAAGCGGTTTCAAAACATCATGGATCCTTAGAATCATGAGCTTTAGAGTTGAGTTCATGAGAGAAGCTCTTGATGTCATGAGCTTTCTTCTTCCGTCCACTTGTGACACGCAGTATCGCCTGAAAACGTGGAGAATGCGTTTCCTTGGCAAGACCAACATGTGAACTCTGCATTGATAAGAAGAAAGATAATGAAGAAAAAAACATTAAACATGGACATCAAATGAGCTTAGCGATTAGAAATGTGAATTTGAAAAGCGTACAAAGAAGATAGTTCACCTCTAACCCTGGATTGGGATTTGCAGGCGCCCGTAGAGATTTTGATTGGGTCCACTGAACTTTTTTACCTAAAAGACGAAGCCACAAACAACATCATCATCATCAGGATCATGATTGTCTCTCTAATTGGTGCATTCCCAGAATGTGTTCTTCAACATAACCGCTCTCTTTACGAAACTGCACAAGCCTGTTGCAGCGAGTAAGGATGAAGAGAAGACGGTTATGAGCCTGCTTGAGGCCTCCCATCGGCAGCTCCTGACGTTTATCGTCTAGTTTCTGAACAATACCTTCACATTTCACCCAGAACTCACTTGCTGGCATGGTTGCACATTGCCGAGCCTCAACTAAAAGATCCTCAAGACCCGTTCTTAATTCTTTGTTAGACTCTGGAGTGCTCTCTAGAGTGGTCACTAAGTAGCCAGCAAAAACTCCTAAATCAGCATCAACATCTTCCTTCTGTCTATCAAACTTCGTTCTGATTGCTGCCATAACCTCCTGCAAAAATCATCAACTAGCAAATAAGAACACCCTACAAAGTCATCAGAGCTGTAAAGAGGTCAGCAAAATACTACTAACCTCCATGTGTCCCACAGCTCGAGATCTCCACACCGGGAAAGGCCGTACCCCTTTAGAGTTGAGTTCATGAGAGAAGCTCTTGATGTCATGAGCTTTCTTCTTCCGTCCACTTGTGACACGCAGTATCGCCTGAAAACGTGGAGAATGCGTTTCCTTGGCAAGACCAACATGTGAACTCTGCATTGATAAGAAGAAAGATAATGAAGAAAAAAACATTAAACATGGACATCAAATGAGCTTAGCGATTAGAAATGTGAATTTGAAAAGCGTACAAAGAAGATAGTTCACCTCTAACCCTGGATTGGGATTTGCAGGCGCCCGTAGAGATTTTGATTGGGTCCACTGAACTTTTTTACCTAAAAGACGAAGCCACAAACAACATCATCATCATCAGGATCATGATTGTCTCTCTAATTGAATGCATCTGTAGCAGAAAAGAGAAATCAGAAGTTTTGAAACCGCTTTGGTACATTGTTTTGAAACATCATGGATCTGGCCACCTCCATTAAGTGTCTGTTCTTCCTTTCAGCAACACCATTTTGTTGGGGTGTATAAGAACAGCTGGTTTGGTGAATGATGCCTTGTGAGGTAAGATATTCTTTGAATAAGTTGCTTGTGTATTCTCCCCCATTATCTGATCTGAAAATCTTAATCTTGGCATTAAAATGGTTAGTTATGTGAGTTTGAAAGTTCCTAAATGCCTCAAAGACTCTATCTTTTGATGGGAGGAGAGTTAACCAAGTATACTTAGACTTTTCATCTATGAAAGTAACAAAGTACTTGTTTTGATCTCTAGATTCACAAGGGGATGTCCAAACATCAGAATGAACTAAATCAAAACATTTTTCATAAATGGTAGAAGACTTAGGAAAAACAGTTCTACAATGCTTTCCTAAGATACAAGCCTCACAATCATCATTCTTAAACACTACTTCAGGTAATAAAAGACTCAATGCACGAGCATGAGGATGTCCTAATCTAGCATGCCAAATCGCATTATTATCACAAGCTACAACATTATTAGAAGAAGCAAAGGTAGGATCTAAAAGCTTAGTATCTTCAAGAACATAGAGATCATCTTTGGTAGTCCCTTTCCCAAGCGTTTTGCTGGTCTTAATATCCTGAAAACACACTTCATTAGGTCCAAAGATAGCAATACAGTTTAAATCAGTTGTAGCCTTCTTTACTGATAATAAGTTAGATGTAAAAGTAGGCATGTAGAAAGCTTTAGAAGATCTCTCAAATAGCTTAAGTTCTCCTATTCCCTTAATTGGAACCTTTTCCCCATTAGCAATCTCAACATTTCCTATTGTTGGTTTTATGTTGCTAATTAAGCTTAAATCACTAATCATGTGATGAGAAGCTCCTGAATCAACTATTAATGGCTTATTCTTAAGTGTATGTGAAGAACTATAAGAATTACCCATATTTTGAATCACATGAAAAGAGGTACCAAGAGTGTTACCAGACTCCTTAAACGCTTTGATCAGGGCATCCAAGTCTGATTTTGTCACGAATTGAGATGAGTTTGCTGCTCCTTCTCCAGGGGTATTCTTAGAGCTTTCGCCTTTGTGAGCTACCTCTTCTGAAGCAATCCTAGCCTTTCCCTCCTTCCATTTCGGTTTTAGGTGAGGATGGAGACTCCAGCAAACTTCTTTGGTATGCCCCTTTCTCTTGCAATGATCACAAAATGAGTTTCTCTTCTCATCAAACTTGTAGGCTCCTTTGTTGGCTGAGATCAGTTCTCCTTTTCCTCCAAATAGGCCGAGTGATCCTTGCTCCTTTTGGATTTGGGAACAGACTTCTTCAAGCGTTGGTAGCCTTTCTGCTCTGAGAAGGTGTTTGATGAGATCATTGTAGGTTGAGTTGAGAGTCAAGAGCAGCCCAAAGACCTTGTCTTGCTCCCTTCTTTCATTTAAAATTTGTGGGTCCACAGTACTTGGCCTTAGCATTTCCAGCTCCGCCCATAGTGCTCTGAACTTTCCAAAGTGTTTGGTAAACTCCACATCTTCTTGCCTTAGCTCATTGATAGCTTTCTTGACTTCAAAGACACGGCTGAGATTAGAGATGTTGCCGAATACTTGCTTCAGGGTCTCCCATAGCTCTTTGGCGGTTTCACAGTATGAGTAAGCCTCCAAGATTTCAGTGCTAAGGGAGCTTTGTAGGAGAGCAAGGACGGTCTGATCTTCCTTGTACCAATGGGTCTCTTCTGCTGGGACAATGGCGGCTCCGGCGGCTGGTGGTGCTGCTATGGGAGCATCGCTTGATACATGTCTCCAAAGACCTCTTCCACACAAGGCGGTTCTTGTGGTCCTTGACCACAGTAGATAGTTCACTCCTTTGAGTGTAAATGGTAAATCCAATGGCTTATTGTTCTCCATGGCCATGAAATTTATTCTATGGACCTATGGCTAAAGCTATGGACCGTTGGGTAAACGGTTTTAGAAATGAGGTATAGGTGATTTAGAGGATAAGCGAATGAGGATATAGGTGATTAGAGGGGTTTAGAGTGATTTTGGAGTTTAGAAGATCGTTTAAGAGATTTCAAAAGAGATAAAGAGAGTAAGGACCGCTGGGTAAAGATTTTGAGAATTTTCTGTAAAATGAGAGAGAGACAGCGAATAGAGAAGAAGCAAAATGAGAGAGGATGAGAATCAGAGTTTGTGATCCAAAGATCTACACAACTCGCTCTGATACCATGTTAGAGTTTGCGGAATGATACTTAGAGAAATGAGTGAAGAACATAACAGAGAAGAGAGAATGAGTTAAGGATGATTATATTTCCTTAAGTTGATCTTACATATGTTCACAATGTTCTATTTATAGAACCATACAAGCTAAGCTAACGGCCATAAGAGATAGGGACATAAAGGATTAAACAAATGGTGTGGTCCTCACGGTGATAGTGACCTCTCATGAACGTTCCTTAGCTTAAGTAGAACATGTGACCTTATCCTTATTTGCTTCTTCTCTTGTGACCGTTGTGATAGTTGACTAAGGGAGGCGTAGATTCACTTGCCTTGCACTCCACTCTTGTCTCATCACTTGAATGCCACGTTCAAGCATGTGTACGGACACCATTCCTCCTTCTACTTTGATAATCCCAGATGAAGATCCGAAACTGGTCTACTATGTTAATCAAGAAGGTATTTACTAGTAACTAATTAATAGTTACATAGTAAAATACAGTTACTTGAGTAATAAGGAAGTTAGTTTGTATTAGAAAGAAGAGGGAAAAAGAGGATAAAAGGCTAAAGGGATAAGGTGGCAGTACACTTTGTCTTATAGCGCTGTACCTTCACCCTTATCCTCTTGTTACCGTTATGAGCTGTAAAGGGGTGAGTCATACACGGTTTGTATAAGGCTGAATGAGGACGCAATAGTGGCTTTGTGTGTAACCCTTTCAGACCTAGAGTGTGTTCTATATAAACTGTGTATCCCCCTTCATTGTAGATAACTTTTCTTCATCTAATACATTTTCACATTTTCCTATCATGAGAGTCGAATCCTTATCCTACAATCTTCTATAATTTACATGGTATCAGAGCCAGGTTTTGTGATTCTTGAGTCTTAAATCTTGGTTTTCTTGTTCGATTCTTGTGTTTGAGAGAAGTTCTTGTGAGTTAATCCGTGGCAAAAGCTATTCTGGGTTGAAACTGGGTCTTATGAGTTAAGCTGAAGCATCAAACCGAGCTAAGAAGGTGAAGCAAGTCAGATCTGGAAAAGTAAAGGTTTGAGCTTTATCTCTCTCTCTGGTTGAAAGGTCTAGTCTAGAGGAATCAGTTTAAGGCAAAGGTTGTGGATAGATTAGTGTTGCGGTTTGGCTTGTGGTTTGAGTAAGGAAGGTTCGAAAAGTTGGATCTTTGGTCTTGGAAAGTGTTAGTTTTGGTGTTCAATAAGCGAAATACTTAAGCTTTGGTGATGGCTGCTCTTCAACAAGCTCCTATGCCTGTTACGGTGTATGATGGCAAGATGAATGACACCTTCAAAGACTTGAGATTTGCGGTAACTCTAAATGGGAACAACTTTCTGTTGTGGAAGCGAACAACTCTGAATGTGTTAGGAGGAAGGAAGCTCACAAAACACATTGAGTTCACCTATGAAGAGCTAAAGGCAATTGATAGAGGTCTGGATGAAGATACTTGGAAGCAGTATGATCTGAATGTGCTGACTGCTCTACACTGCTCACTAGAGGCGTCAATTCTAGAAGGCTATTCGTACTGTGAGACTGCTAAGGAGCTGTGGGATACTCTTACAAGTGTCTTCGGCAATGAGTCTAACTTGACTCGGGTCTATGGTATCAAGAAAGCTCTCGGAAATCTGAGCCAAGAAGAGAGTGACTTCAACACCCATTTCGGAAGGTATAGATCGTTGGTTGCTGAGTTGGATATGTTGAGACCCTTTACCACTGATGCTAAGACACTCAAGGAGAGAAGAGAGCAAGATCGTGTGTTTGGGTTGCTTCTGTCTCTGAATCAAGGCTATACTGATGTAATCCAGCACATCTTGAGAGAAGACAAGATTCCTACCCTAGAGCAAGTTTGTGCTAAGATACAAAAGGAGTATGGCAATCAGGAGCTGTTTGGCAACAAGAATGCAAGTCTACCTACGGCAAACAAGGTGGGAGTGGCAAAACATGGAGACAAGAAGACATGGGTTTGTGAGCATTGTGAGAAAAAGGGTCATCTCAAAGACAAATGCTGGATCCTACACCCTCATTTAAAGCCAGATAAGTTCAAGAAGGACAAGATGAAGGCGAATGTGGCAGAAGCAAGTGAAGGCTCCGAAAATGCTGAAAGAGCTATGGTGCAGTTCGGTCATCATGAGAAGGCTTTACAAGCTATACAAGACAAGAGCTCAGCTTCCACCTCAGGAGACCATTGTGATGAACAAAGCTGATCTAGAGAGCCTCCTTCAATCCATTGCATCTAAGTTACATCCAGGCGGTATATCTCTCTTATCTTCTAACTCTAGTGATTTAAACTCATTAGTATTAGACTCAGGAGCTTCTCACCATATGATTAGTAATCCTAAGTTGTTAGAGAACATTAAACCGGCTTTAGGGAATGTTAAGGTTGCAAATGGTCATAATGTGCCAATAGAAGGTATAGGTTATATTAATGTGTTTAACAAGAAGCTAAGTGCCTTTTATATGCCTAAGTTCACCTCTAATCTCCTTTCTGTAAAGAAAACTACTAAGGACTTAAACTGTTTAGCTATTTTTAGTCCTAATGATGTTAAGTTGCAGGATATTGAGAGTGGAAAGTGTTTGGGCAAGGCAGCACCAAGGATGACTTATATGTGTTCCAAGACATCTCTTTAAATTCTGTTTCTAAGAATAATGTTTCTTCTAT